CCTGAAAGGAAGTGGCAATTGAGACTGGAGCAGAACAACACGCATAATTGAATTCAGCAGAGGTCGGGCTGGACAGTGGGTGGATGAGGGAGGGTGGGGGGTGGGGGGGTTAGGACGATTGACAGAATAGGACCTTCACACACAGGCTTGTTTATTCTTGTTGCTCTCTAAAATAGTAATTTCAATTCAACCTTTATCTATACAGGTTGTTAGTCTCACTGAGCCTCGTCATTTTCAAGAGAGACCTGTTTTTGATCAATTTAATCAAATATTTACAGATGTAAATGACATCTCTTTAATTCCAAATTTTCTGGGGAAGGACCCACAGACACCCCCACTGGACCGCCTGCTGTTTTTGTTCTGACATCAGTTAGTTTACAAATTAAGCCCTGGAGCTAACGTTAGCATGGTGTTTGCATTTGAGTTGGCCTACCGCTTTAAGTCCATCCATCCATTATCTTTACCCGTTTATTCCATTTTGGGTCACGGGGGTCGCTGGTGCCCATGTCCAGCAATCACTGTGCAAGGGGCGGGGTACACCCTGGACGGGTCGCAAGTCCATCACAGGGCCACTTAGAGACAAACAACACAAACAACCATTCACTCTCTCACTCACACCTAGGGACAATTTAGAGTTACCAATCAGCCTAACATGCATGTTTTTGGTCTGTGGGAGGAAACCGGAGTACCCGGAGAAAACCCACGCATGCACGGAGAGAACATGCAAACTCCACCCAGAAAGGCCCCTGGACCGGGGTTTGAACCAAGGACCTGCTCGCTGAGAGGCAGCAGCTCTACCAGTTGCGCCACCGTGCTACCCCCGCTTTAAGTCAAGTATGGTAAATGGACTGTACTTATATAGCGCCTTTCTATCTGATCAAGACACACAAAGCGCTTTACACTACAATCTGTGTCCTCATTTACCCATTCATACAACACTCTACTAGGTCTCTACAAAGCTAATTGAACAAATCATTCTAAAGAGACTAATTAGAGCTTTAGATCGCATTCATACACCGATGGGACACACATCGGAGGCGATGAGGGGGTTCAGTGTCTTGCCCATGGACACTTCAGCATGTGAATGCTGGTGGATTTGAACCCCCAACTTTTGCATTGGCGGACGACTGCTCTAACCACTCAGCCACAGCCGCCCAAAACTTGTTAGCTGCCTTAACGTTGGTATGAGACGTAGTTTATATATAGTTTTTTTTTAACCTGATGGAGCCGGAGAAGGAGGCAGCAAAAATAATCCGGTGGAACGCTTCAAAGACGGGCCACTCTGTTACTTCTACACCCACCTTTGCACGATATAAAATTATTGCAAGAGCTGCACTGAACCGACTGGTCATTTTATTAAAGTTAAGCCACGCTTTCGATCGTGGCCGCTCACTCTCCATGTATGCGAACACTTCCAGTGGATTCTTTATTGTTGGTTTTTGGCGGGCAGCTTCTACTTCCGGTTGGCAGACTAGGCATCGAAAGTAGGAATTGAAAAAAAATATTTCGAACAATTCCGGGAAAACCGGACAGTTAGTCCCGGTTCCAGTCGATTCTCAATCCTTGATGCCCAACCCTATTCCAGATATTGTTTCTATTGTCCAGATGTGTTTTCTATGATGTAGGTGTAGTGTATATGGTCCAAGAGTAGTTTTTATGGTCCAAGTGTAGTTTCTATGGTCTAGACATGGTTTTCATGCTCCAGATGTAGTTAATTTGGTCCAGGTGTAGTTTCTATGGTCAAGGTGTGGTTTATATGGACTATATGTAGTTTCTATGGTCCAGGTGTATTTTTTATGGTGCATGTGGATTTTATATAGTCCTGATGTATTTTCTATGCTCCAGATGTTGTTTCTATAATCCAGTTGTGATTTCTATGGATCAGAGGTATTTTCTACGATCCAGTTGTAGTTTCTATGGTCCAGTATAGTTCCTAAGGTCCAGGTAAAGTTTTTATGGTCCAGATATGGTTTTTATGGTCCAAATGAAGTTTGTATGGTCCAGATGTAGTTTCTATGGTCCAAGCTTAAAGGCCTGCGTGCTGCATCTTCCTCTCCAGCTGGTAGTCATCATTTCAATCGTCAGCTTTCTGCATGCCCGGACCAGGTAAACAAGGGGAGTTGTCGGCTGGTGCACCGCACGGGCTGACCCAGAGGGGCTGTTATTGAAAATCTGCGACCACTGGCGCGTGCTAACTCCACCACTGCTAGGTCCACTTTGGAGAGTATCTGGATGTGTTTGGTCAACGCAAGAGCTGTTACCAACAAAAATGTATCCTCAGGGACTACTTTCAAGAGCAAGATTTGGACTTTCTCTGCATCACAGAGACTTGGATGTCTCCGGGTGAGTCTAGCGCCTTGACGGAATTATTGCCACTGAACTGTTTATATTTTAACGCACTGCGGCCATCAGGCCGGCGCGGTGGTGTGAATATTAACAATATTCAAATCAACTTTTGACTGTAAACAACAGCTCATCCCAGTTTCCTGCGCCAGCTTTGAGCTGAGCGTCTTTGAACTCGGCCATTCGCCTTGGACTTTATGTGCACTCGTCTACTGCCCACCTCGATCTAAAGATTTCATAAATGAGTTTTCTGATTTCTTGGCTGAAATCACACCAAAATATAACCATGTTTTCATTATTGGGGACTTTAATTTGCATATGTGCTGTCTGGAGAAGCCCTTGGTTAAGGACTTTTTAGATTTATTGGACTCATTTAATCTAACTCAGCATGTAAACGGTCCCACCCAAGAGCACGGACATACACTGGACCTTGTTTTAACACGTGATGTGACTGTTAGTAATCTTGAAATTGGTGATAATGTTTTTTCTGATCACATGCCAGTCCGGTTTGAGTTCACCCTCCCTCATCTAACTCCTAAGCCGTGCATTCCTGCACGTAGTAGCCGGACCATTAACCACTTCACTGCCGCACGTTTCACAGATGCTTAAAACTCTGAAATGATAATTCAGCCCCTGGTGTTTCTCTCCACCACTGAGGAGCTGACATCCCAGTACATCTCTGTCTGCTTCTCTAGAGCAAGTCATGTGCAGCTTGAAACCTTCTGGTTCCCCCTTTGATGTGGTCCCTCCTCGTCTACTAAAGGAGGTTTTTCCTACTCTAGGTCCGTCCATTCTTTCTCTTGTAAATAACAGTTTATCCACTGGCGTGGTGCCAAAAATCTTTAAACATGCTGCTGTCCAGCCTCTCCAGAAAAAACAAACCTTGACCCCTCAGTCGCATCCAACTACCGGCCTGTCTCCAAACTCCCGTTTGTTTCTAAACTACTGGAGAAAATAGTTGAGTCCCAATTGAAGTGCTTCCTGGAGGATCACACCATCTTAGAGCTATTCCAATCTGGCTTTAAACCTCTCCACAGCACTGAAACTGCCCTACTGAAGGTTTTTAATGACATATTCATATCCACAGATACCGGTGATTCTGTGCTGCTTGTCCTATTGAACCTTACAGCCGCCTTTGACACCATCGACCATGAGATCCTCATTGCTATGTTGGAGCAGTGGGTGGGCATCACAGGGTCATTGGTTCAGATCCTACCTCGCTGGCAGATCCTTTTGTGTCTTCATCAAGCATTTGAGTTCTGCAGCGACAAAGCTTAAATGGGGGGTTCCGCAGGAGTCCATCCTGGGTCCCCTCCTATTCTCTTTATACCTGCTGCCACTTGGTGCTGTTTTCCGGAAACACAACATACCCTTTCACTTTTACGCCGATGACTGTCAAATTTACTTCCTCTTAAGACATAATGGTACATGCTTTATTCAACCTCTGCTTGACTGCCTGGCTGACATCCGGGACAGGATGGCTTTAAATTTCTTAAGTTTCAATGAAAAGAAGTCTGAAGTCATGTTGTTCCCTCCCAACGACACGATCATAAACCACTGCATCGACCTTTCCACTGTCACCCTGTCAGAAAAACAAAGAGTCACTAATCTGGGAGTGATAATGGACCCTTCCCTGAAACTTAACAATCATGTAAACATGATTGTTAAATCATGTTTCTTCCAACTGAGGCGGCTGTCTAAACTGAAGCCCATATTGTCCAAAAAGAACCTGGAGACAGTAATACATGCATTCATTACATCTAGGTTTGATTACAGCAATTCACTCCTGTTTGGTATCAGTCAGATCTCCATTGCACGACTACAACTGGTCCAGAATGCAGCTGCCCAATTTTTAACCAGTACAGGCAAAAGAGAGCACATTACTCCAGTTTTGGCCTCACTGCACTGTTCACCTTCGAATCCAGTTCAAAATACTACTGTATGTCTATAAATCGCTGAACAGTTTCGCCCCCCATCTCTCTGATTTGCTACAGCCATATGTCCCACCACGTTCCCTAAGGTCAGCGGACCAGTTGCTCTTCACAGTTCCCAGTCTTAAGCGCAGAGGTCACAGGGCCTTCTCTGTAGCAGGACCAAGACTTTGGAACGAGTTACCTCTGCTTTTCAGACAGGACCCCTCCCTCTCGGTTTTCAAATCCCGTTTGAAAACCCACTTCTATTCAGTAGCTTTCAACACCAGATGATCTGTGTTTTGAACTTGTATGCTCCACACCGGTTAGTCGTTATATTTATTATCTGCATCGTTTTTATGTCTATATTCTGATTTACTTCATTTTGTATATTGTTTTGTGTGTTATCTGTTGTTCTTTCTGTACAGCACTTTGGTTGGCCTTGTTGCTGTTTTAAGTGCTCTATAAATAAAATAGTATGGTAGGTGTGGTTTCTTTAGTCCAGATGTAGTTTCTTTGGTCCAGGTGTATTTTTTATTTCTCTGTTTCAGGTGTGCTTGATATAGTACAGTTGTAGTTTCTAGGAGTCAGGTGAAGTTTCAATTGTTCAGGTGTAGTTTGTGTTGTCCAGATGCTATGTAATTCTTCTTTAAAAAAAAAAAATATATATATTATTTTATTTCTATCCATAGCTTAAAACTGAATTATTTGAAATTGAAAATAACTGTTTTTCTTTCATGACTGCAGAGTCCCATGGCAAACTGCCCTTAAAAAGGGCGGGAAGAAGAAGTACGAGTACGTCCTGGGGACTGAAGTGATCACGGTGGGCTGCACCTGCGTGAGACCCAGTGTTGTACCCCAACACTAACAAAGACAAAACTTTCAAAGTATCAGATTTCATGATATACGTATGTTACTGAAAAAAAAATTGATATTTGTTTTAGAAAACTGTGACTCATTTGTGCTAAGTGACAGGTTGCTAGCTTTAGTTTACCTAGTGTCTGTTTGTCATTTTGTCCAAACCACTGGAAACATCTATCAGCAAAATCCAAAGTTTTTAGTGACCACATGCCATTCTCATATAACCATATCCATGTATAAAAAGAGATGGGATGGAGGGATACATTTTATTTTTTTGCAGTATAATAAATGTTTTTTTGTTTTTCGTTTATTCTGGTTTAACCAAAAGTTGAACTATCAATATCTATAAATTGGTAGAACATCCACATTAATGAACTTTGTATTATGGCTAGAGTTATTTTTTTAATTTCTATTTTTTAATAAATTAACAATTCCCTACCATTTCAGCACACAAAAAGGCAACAGAATGAGAGAGTTACATAAAAATAAACATCCTGTTAAAAACAACTGCGTTGTTTTGGTTATTAGGCCACAAAGTGTTGGTCAGTATGCACAAAATGTTGTGCTATGCTTTTATTTCTCTGTTCTTTGACTCCATATGGATTTATTAAGAGATTTAAAATCTCTTTGGGAAGTCCTTTAAGCTCCGTGTGTGGACGGGTGAAGCAAGCGCAGCAGAGAAAACTCATTTAGAAAAAAAAATTGATTGTAGACAGAAGACACTCGAGAACCTGTGTATCAAAAGTCACATCTCATTTAATAATTGTTGGTTCTTGGCTTCCACCAAAAAAAAAAAAACACTCAAAAGACGCCACACTCACTTAAAACAGTTGTGAAGAAGTTTTTAATGGATTTTCAAGCTTGAGTTAAAACAGTGAACATGTAGGATTTTGATTTTAAATCAGTTTTATTGATTTGGAACAGTTTTATATGTTTATTTTCTTTATGGATGTGTTCTACTGTATTCTGTCGTATTTTATTTACCTACAAATTTTAATGACAATTTAGCATTTGTGACTTTTTTTATACAGAGCAAAAACTTATTTACACATGTATTTCATTTGAAAATATTTTTAATAATAAAATGCTGTGAATAATTCCTGCTGTGCTTTGTTGCTTTTATACTTTATGCTTATCTCATCACATGCTTTCTATTTTTTAGACATTTTTCTGTGCTCATCACACTGAAAAGTTCATTCAAAGCCAATGAACTACTGTATAGTTGGTCTGAAAATGACTACAGTAAACTGAATTCAGTTAAAAACTTTTACTGATCATGCCAAATACTGTAAATACAATCAGTCAGACCTTGAAGATAAACAGCAACATGTTGGTACAGCAAGTACAAAGCCCATGTTAATCCCAGGAATGTTTCAGTCGTCAACGTGAAGTCCGTATGACTCGACTGCTCGGGCACATTTCATCCTTTTTAATTTTTATTTCAGTTAGGATGATGAACAATCAGAGCGCTACTCCAAGGCAAACAGAGTGCACGTTATCCAGTCCTGGACCGCCGCTTCCTGGTGTTAATGCTGTTTTATCGTGTGGGAACTGTTACTATATGTACGGAATAGGATCAGGGCCACCGTGCAATTTCTTTTTCTTGATTCTGAGAAAAAGTCAGAATTAGATAGATGAATTCTGACTTTAATCTGGGGGTTGCACCGTGGCCCTGATCCTCTTCGTTACTAGATGTGCTTTAGAGTTGTGCTTAATGAAACAAAGAGTGCAAACGGTGCTCTGAAAGAAATGCACATCACTGAACTACACTACAGCTAAGAGTCTGGGAATGAAAAGCAAAAACACACATTTTACAATTTTTTTCCTCTTTACCTCCTCACACACACGCACAGTTAACTTTTTCAATAAAACTGACACCCAAATGGACCAGCTGTTGGGTTTTAGCTGGACCCAGGGTGGTTTCAGAAATGCATGATTTGCTTTTCCATGTTTTACTAGTCAGCAGTTTTAATTACAGCTGAACACTTTCAGTCTGATTTGCCTGTTTGTCTACAGCAAAACAACACAGCTTGGTTATGATAAGAAGCTGACTCAGTTTATTTATTTTCTGAGTAAAGAAAAGAGACCACTATAGTTTAGTTTTTCACTGAGTCCTGCTACAAGAAAATCAAATGAAAGCTGTCAAACGTTTGAAGTGTAAATGCTGATGTGGTCTCACCGCCAGCACCATAACCTCATCTGGTTTCTTTTAGAAGCAAAAATGATATTTCAACATCGAGCGTTGCCTAAACTTTGTACAGCTTGGTCAGGATCATTTGGAGCTTGTTAATTGTTACATTACAATTTCACATGACTTCTAAACTCATTCAAGTTGCTCTTATGAAGTCCTTTATTTTTTGCACTGTTTTGAAATAATTTAAAATTGTCCCCTTTAACACAGACACAAAGGAACGTCTGAAGCATTGGATGGGCTCGGCAGCTTCACTCATCTATCGACAGGCCTCTTCTTTCATCTCCTTGTTCTTTCTCACTTCCTCTGCATGTTTATCCTGACAGAAACACAGAAACACAGCAGAGTTAATGTTCCTATTCATATTATGAAGCAGACACTCGTTTGTGAAGTTTTGATTAACAAATGAGATTCAAGAAGGAAAACTAAAATTATTTTCTTTTACCATTTTATTATTATAGATAATGAATTTGGGGTTTTCGTTAGTTGTCGGTTATAATCATCAACATTAAAATAAATAAACATTTGAAATATATCAGTCTGTGTGTAATGAATGAATATAATATATAAATTTCACTTTTTGAATGGAATTACTGAAATAAATCAACTTTTTCATGATTTTTTAATTTTATGACCAGCACCTGATCAGCACCGGCTGATTTCCCCCCAAAAGGGTTAAAATTACCATACCATTCCACGTTTTTAAAAAGCACATAAAGAAATAGCAACAAGGCCAACAAAAGTGCTGTACAATAAAATAAACAAGCAGGTTCTCATGGTCTATGGCAGTGGTGTCCAATCCTGGTCCTCGAGTGTCACTGTCCAGAGAATTCTCTCCTCCCAACACACCTGACTTGAATCAGCAGGTGATTACCAGACTACTGCAGAACACGAAGAGGTCATTCAGCTTTTGAATCAGATGCTTTGAAGTTGGGAAGCAGCTAAACCCTGCAGGATAATGGCTCCCTAGGACCAGGGTTGGACACTCCTAGTCTATGGTGTCCAAGGCAGATGTTAGGTTTAAAGACGAGAAGTACAGACTCACTGGATTTTATTGCTGTAAAAATGTCCTTAGAACACTCAACAGAGCAAACAGTGCTGTGGTGAGTTTTAACGTCAGACTGGATCATCTGAAAAACTCAGTGTTCATCCAGAAAATACTTTAGTTGAGAGTGAACCATTTTTTCTATCAGTTTGTTCAAAAATTGGAGTTTGGAGACCAGCCTAAAGTTTGACACCCCCAAGGCTGTATTTTTTTCAGCAGGGATTGCACAGCAGCATGTTTGAAATGTTTTGGCTTCGGAACAGAGATTAAACCGCTATTTACACAAGAGGAAATCGAAGAACTCAGTTTAGAAAAGACGTCATTTACAAGCTGAGGAGGGACAACATCAAAGGGGGAGTCAGATGACTTTATATTGAAACCTGCTGCTCAAATAAAGAAAAAGAGATGAACAGACGCAGCTAAACATGGAGATACGATGGATGGATCATGAGCTGGTGGAGAAATGAGAGCCTAATTGTTCATAACCTTTTCCCAAAAAGAAGGCAAATCTTAAAAACGTTCACAGAAAGCTTCCAGAGGGACCAGCTCACTTAGGTCAAGAACTGAGCCGAGGGTAGGAGAACAAACTTGGAGTTCTTGGAGAGTCAGAGACAAAAACATGAGAGAAAGTTTTTGATTTAGCAGCTGTCACAGCTTTCTGAACACGCTTTCCAACAGAAACCTGCAACCTGTCTTTACTCCACCTCCGTTCCGCCTCTAGTCCAATAGAACGAGGGTCATCATTTAATGTTGGCGCTGATCTGGATTCAAGGTTCTTTGTCATACACACCACATGTGGTGCATGTGGTGGAATGAAACTGTGTACTCAGTGTCCCAGTTACATCCAACAAAAGTATAAAATGTAAAAGAAAAACAATAAGATCTAAGATATGAACTAAGAAAAACGTTAACTAAAAGTACAGTAAGCACGAATAGTACAAAAACAATAAAAACAATAAGTCGAACAACATCACAAGCATGAGTCTGTGTGAGCAGATAAGCACGAATGAACACAGCAACATGAAACAGATCAGCAGCAACATGATGCGATTTTTCACAGTGATTATCCTGGTTAGAGATTCATGAGTCTAACAGCTTCAGGGTAGAAGCTGTTCTTCAGTCTAGTGGTTCTACACTTAATGCTCCTCAACCTCCTGCCTGAGAGGAGCGGGGAAAAAGTGTGTGTGCTGGGTAAGTGGGGTCCTTCATGATGCAGGTGGCTCTCTTCCTGCATCTAGAGGTGTAAATGTCTGTGATGGTGGGGAGACTGACTCCAACAGTCTTCTATGCAGCCTTCACCACTCTTTGCACTCCACTGGAGTAAGCTGTTGGGGGAAGAATCAGTTTTGTGTTGTGTGTTTTCTTGACTGATGAAGCCTGGATCGAAGGTGAAACGTTTCAGCATAAAAAAAATGAAACTGTCCAGATGACCTGACTGAAAATTAGTGGATTGTATACCTGGGTTATTGAGCATGGACTTTGTTGGTTTTGAACCAGTTTGACATGACTGTCGACGAGGGAGAGGGCTGGCACCAGAGGAGGGGGCGTGCCAAAGAGACCATCTTAGCACCATCATAACTGGTTTGTGCCATTTTGGAGTAAGCTGTTTGGGGGAAGAATCAGTTTTGTACTGTGTGTTTCCTTGACTGATGAAGCCTTCTGGATGGAAGGTGAAATGTTTCAGCATAAAAAAGAAACTGTCCAGATGACCTGACTGAAAATTAGTGGTCTGTGGAGTGAAGTACGCCCAAGTATCTGGTGGCCTTTAGTTACATGCCTGCACTCACAACAAACACCAGCAAACATTAGAGTTTAAGATTCATTGGCTGAAAGCTGGTCACATTATTGAGTGTAGGGATTTTCCATGTGATGATGACATTTCCAGAGGTGTGGCCAAGCTCTGAAGAAAACCGTTGATCACTGAATCGATCTGTGCCATTTTTTGTGGGTCAAGCAACTGGCCTGTGGGTCCTCCCCCAGAAAATTTGGAATAAGAGATGCCATTTCCTGCATTTTGATGTATTTTAACAGGTTGTTTGTTAAACATCTATGTTTACCTAGATTTGTAGATGTAACCCACGTTAAAATCTGATATAAATAGGAATGAATAGCGGA